GGGGGGCCTCGTCCCAAGACCCTGGGATCATAACCTGAGCCAGAGGCAGACGCTTAATGACTGAGTTACCTAGGTGCCCTGAAATATGAGGGCTTTAAAGTAATATATTGATTAAAGATTATTGATGATGTTGATAAAATATACTGCATCAGAAAGAACAGGAAATGGACTTAGCTTAACCTCTCACCCTGGAATTATTAGTTGGGAGAAGAGGGAATCATTAACATTTGGGCATTTTGATACTAAATGTTAAGTGAATATGCCAGGAGTTCTACCTTCAACTTGTAGCAAGACAGCAGCACTTGATTGTAACTTCTGTGTTTTATAGAAATAGTAACAATTGGTTTTGGAGAACCATTCAGGTCCATTCAAAAAGTCCCATAAAGTATAAAGTATGCTTTGGAAGAGGGCTGTGTCTAATACAATTCTGATGTAAACAATACACTAAATAAATCCACTTAAATATGGATTTATTTTTTTCAAGATTTGAGAACTTTGAATGGCAAAGGGGATTATTTTCTGCTTGAGTAAAGATATGTTTATTTTGCATTTTCCAGCTCCAAGCATATAGTCCTCCTGGCTTCAAAATGCTGTAAAGGGTATAGTAGTAGTAACATGGTGTCCTTTTAATTTGCTGACTGCAGGAGTGGGCAAGGCTGTCTTTTCAAGTAGTCCTTCCATCTCCTATAAGGAAGTATTCGCTTTAAGAGATAACATAGTAAGTGCTATTCAGGAGGTCAGATTTATTTCCTGAGATATGTTCAAGTTATTTGCTAAGAACTGAAGTAATTTTGAAGAACACCAAAACCACTGCTCTAACGTTTAGGCAGAGGAGGTTTTGATTGGTGTGGTGTGCACTAATAGTAATAGTAATAATTCAGTGCTTACTATGTGCCAAGCAAGCACATGGTAGCAAATTTAATTCTCACTACCTTAGGAGAAAGGTGTGTTGATTATCCTGTTTTCATATGAGGAGATCTAGCCAGAGAGGTTAAATAACTTGCCCACGGTCATATAGTTCATAAAGTTTAACTTAGATGGATTGCTCCAGAGTCACCACCTAGTGTCTGGAGCAAGAATATTCCTTCTGTTTCAGGTGTCACTAAGGTGTCGCAGGTGGAAATGTGCAGGGGTTGCTTTTCAGTCTTTTTTTCTGGTGCAGGGTGGTTCCTAGAGTTACAGACCTGAGCACAGGTCCAGGTTTGTGGCACGGAATAGAGAAGGAGGTCTGTGGATGGGGGGAAAGCACTGAAATCGTCGGCCATGGTGAATTAGAAAACCATACATACGTAGAATTTACATATTCTAACTTGACAGCAAACACGTGATCATGAGGCTTTAGGCAAAGTCTGCTGTCTGAGACAATCTGTTTCCATGCATGTTTGGTGCCTCTCACTTAACCTAACAGTATGCCTTATCTAGTTGTCTCCCCTTTTCCCCTTTTGTTTAAATTACATTACAGAAACAATTATATACTGAGATGTGAAGAACTTTTTTTTTCTTTTAAGAAAATAGTATATCACAAGTAGTAAGGATAAATACTGTTTTGTGAAATTCCTTTTTTAGTTGTAACTGTGGCATGCTATATAAACTGAATTCCTTAATGTGGGTAACAGAGTTTGAAAGCCATTGTTCTAGGTGCACTGAATCGAACTGGAAGTCTCCAAATAACAAGTAGGTTATTTTTTTCCCCCATAAAGATTATGAAGGTTATTGTCCTTTTTAGGTTATAAAGTGTTTTTATTTCTTAACTTTGAAAATCTACTTCTGTTGATATGACTCCCCCTCCTGTGACTTCTTTTTTTTTTTTTAACTTTTAATGTAGCTGATTAAATGGGTTTTCAAGAGTGGTATCACATTTAGCTCCATGAGAACAGAGACCATCTCTGTCTGTCTATATCCCTATGGCCTATCTGGCCTATTTTCAGTAAATATTTATTGGTAGTCTGATTAGTGTTTCCATGAGTTACATTTTTTCTCTAGGAAGGTAGGAAAGACCACTTATATCTGAGTGTGTCTGTGAGTGCCTGTGTAGGGCCCTTAGAGGGCCTGCCTCAGAGGATCTTTCCAGGGCTCTGAGAAGACTGAAGAACTTCATCCTAGCTTAGCTGGAGGATGTGGTTCAACCCTGGGTGGCTGAGAAGGTGATGCCCTAACTGGGTCCCCAGTTAGGCCCTATGTCTTGATTCTCTGCCATGTGTTTAGAATGAAAGGGCACTCGAGTGGAAATTCTGGGTCCCAGTCTCAATTTTAAGTGAGGGATTCAATGATGTTGACTAAAAACCACCTTTTATTGAACACTAGGAACTAGTGATTGATTTCGATGTATTAGTAACTTGTGTAATCCTCACAGCCCCTCAGTGAGGGTGCTTATTATTATGATCTCTACTATATAGGTGAAATCACTAAGGTTCAGAGGATTTAAATGTTAGCTTTCAGTAATAATTGCTCCGTGTGGGACTGAGGATATAAAGCTTTGCCCTTATAGAGCTTTATAGTCTAATGCAGAAGAATAGCAGTAAAAAAGTACAAATAAAATGTTAAGTAAAGTTAAGCAGAGATAATGCTGTGAAGAAAAAGAACCCTTGAAGAAAAATGATGGAAGAATGGGGACCCATCTGTCATTTTAGATGGAGTAATCAAAGAATGCCTTGACGACAAGTGTAAATTTGAGCAGAGACCTGGACAGAGGGAGGGAATTAGCCTGTGGATAACCTGGTGGAAGAAGCAGAAGGATTAGCGACAAGGATCCTGATGGAGCAGAGAGCGTGGCTTGTTCAGGCAACATTAAGAGGTCAGTGTAGCTTGAGCCCAGTGAGCAAGAGGAGAGTACAGTTGATGGGGTGATGCAGGGTACGGGGCTGGAGCAGGTGAGGCCTTGACTGTAGACCACTGTAAAGGAGTGGGATCGTGTTCTAATGTCTTATTTACATACACACAAGGTATTTTGCTAGACAGACCCCTTTGAGATCCTTTCCTGCTTTAAAATCCTGTGACTTTAAAGTAGTGAAGCCATCCACATCGTTAACATGTTTTAGCAGTCTGTTGCATCTCTAGATACTTCTCAGGGGCAAAGCCATTTACCCCTGCTGGTTTGGGTTTTTGTTTGTTTTTTAATTTCCCAAGTGGGCAGCCAGCTATAGCCATAAAAATCATGGCTGGCCCTGTCTGCTGCCCGGTTCTCTCATTTCCCTGACTCAAGTTGTCAGAGCTGTGGCAGGCATGAACTGTTTGCGCCAGTATGTGGTATGTGTTTAAAGAATGTTAATCCCTACAGAGTCATTTTGTGTTTTTGGCATAACCGGTAATTTTCCTCCTCTCTCTCTCATTTGCTGAAATGTTCCTTGTGCTCCCCTATAGAGAGTGTGACAACTAGGGGTAGTAATAAAGGATTTGACAACTGTGTGAGTTGTAGGGACATGCCCCTTTTTGGTAATAGAGGCATAATTGTAACCAAAGAAGTTTAATTTCTTCTTTAGCAAACACTGACATTTCTGTTTAAGAATGACTGCTACAGCAAAAGGAAATACAAAAATTACCATGTATCATGAGTACACTGAGAATTCTCTCTGTAATAGCTCAAAACTGATCTATGGCCAAAATTAAAACCATATGAGCATATCCTAAATCTCAACTATTACTGTGTTTGCTTCTCTGTTTGGAATAAGGCTTCAAGTGCTTTCCAGAATGATGTGAGTTACAAATAAATAGAAAAAGAGTTTTGTGTGTTCCATTTATTTTATTTGTACATATCCATTTAAAAAAAATGACTTTAAAAATACAATTCTGTCCCAGAATTGGATCCTTATCAGCACAACCACTGAAGGGGAAAAAAAGTCATGCAAACTGAAACTATGGTCTTTTGTAGTGACTGAATGGAAGATGCAAATATTTCAGTAGAATATATAAGAAGCTCTGATTTGGCAACTAATTGCACAAAGGAGAACCCAAACTTCACTGGTTTGAAGCAAGGAAAACACAATTTTACATATGGATATGATAAGGTTTGCACAGCCCTGTTAAAGGCTTACATGAAATGAATGTAGCCTTGGGATCAGTTATACATCATGTACTGACAGCCTCTCCCACCCACATCCGTTTGGTTACTGTTACTTTGTTCCTTACTTGCTTGGCAGTAACAATAAGTAAATAGGTGATCCTGTGAAATCAGAACTGTAAGCTGACATTAGGTGAATGCAGTTAACAAATCACCTCCTGCTTTAAAGTTACGTTTGGTCATTGGTGTTAATGTACTGTTGCTGAAATGCACCACCGGGTATAAAAGAGATTAGGTTAGACAGTTTACCAGGTTTGTTTTCTTAGCCATTCTGACAGCATTCCAAGTAGCCTATTTCCAAAAAATGAATGGACACATGTTACTGGTGACTAGTCTGGGTTTTACGGTCTTGGAAAAGCTATACAGTTTCACATTGTATTATTTCTACCGAATTTAATCAAACATTATCAAACAATTGGAGTTGTCAACCCAGTCTCTCTGGCTCTGAGCTACTACTAGTGGATGACACTTGAGGAAATAGTCACAGAGGAGACGCCCAGGCCTGCCCCTCAGATGGAGACCCTTCGTCAGGCAACAGCATGTCAGTCTCGGGATGAGAAAGGAAAATGTGCTGGGGAGTGAGGGACGCTAACCCCCGGCTTGACAGAGAGAAACCAAATGGTCAGACTCCGGCGAGTCCTGAGGGCACCACTGACACAGACTAGCACTGCTAGCAGCTCTGAGGTGTGGCCGAGATGACAGAGACGTGTGCGTGCTGGGGGGCGGACAGCTGTGTGAGTGAGGAAGATCGCACATGGATCATACGGAATACATCATGCATGATTTCCAGACACCTCTCAGGTCAAGTTGGGAAGCAAACAGCAATGCTAGGGTTGGGGCGGGGGGCACAAAAGGTTGAACTTGAAACATACTGTGTTAAGGGATGAACCTTTTAATATTTTTTTCTGTTTCCACTCTCCTTAATGTACATGCTTTTTTGCCTTCAGAAAATAGAGTCAATAGCTGTGCAGAGTTGAAGAAAAACTTCCTCTGGTGTCCCCTCTGCATTTACCTATATTTAAAAGGAAAAGAAAAAGAGAAAGTTAGTCTTCCTTTTTTTTTTTTTTTAAAGATCTTAATTAGAAAGCACAAGAGCGTAGGGAGAGGGAAGTGAGAGGGAGAGAATCTGAAACCAACTCCCTGCTGAGCAAGGATCCTGACACAGGGCTGGGTCTCAGGACCCTGAGATCATGACCTGAGCCGAAATCAAGACTTGGACGTTTGACTGAGCCACCCAGGTGCCTCTAGAAAGTTAGTCTTAAGAAGTATTTGTAGATAAGACCATTTCTAATAATAATTACCTGCTCATAACTTGCTGTGCAGTTTTAAAATAGAGCCCAGAACCACAGAGGAAAAGTGAGGAGTTGTTTAAAAACTAGGTTTGTCCAAATTAAAACATCAGCTACCACTGCACACCTATTAGAATGGCCAAAATCCAAAACCCACCAGAGGCTGGTGAAAGTGTGGTGCGACAAGAATGCTCATTCTTTTGCTGATGGGAATGCAAAATGGTACAGCCCCTGTGGAAGTCACTTCGGCAATTTCTTATAAAATTAAGCATTCTTAACCATAGAACCCAGGAATTGTGCATCTTGGTATTTACCCAAAGGATCTGAAAATTCATGTCCACACAAAAACTTGCACATGGATGTTTATAGGAGCTTTATTCATAATTGCGAAAACTTAGAAGCTAAGCTTTCATTAGGGGAGTGGATGAATGGTGGTATCCAGACAGTGGGATGTGTAGCACTCAGATGAGTCACCAAGCCATAAAAAGACTTGGGGGAAACTTGTATTTCCAACTCCAAGAAGCCTCTCTAAGAAGGCCACATAATGGTATGCCATATGACATGAAAAAGGCAAAACTGTGGAGACAGTAGCAGACTGACTTGTGGGGAGAGAGGAAAGAATGGGTGGAATAAGGAGGATTTCTATGATAGTGCAACTTAATGGTGTATAGATATCATCATATATTTGTCAAAATCCATTGAGCGTGAACACTAAGAGTGGACCCTGACGTAAACCAGACTTTTGGTGAGAATGATGTGTTGGTGTATGTTCATTGATAGTGACATGGGATGCTAGTGTAGGATGTTGATTGTGGGGGAGGTTGTGTTGTGTCTGGGGACAAGGGTATATGAGAATTCTGTACTGTACGTGAAGTTTGGTTGCGATTTAAGACTCAATCTATTTAAAACAAAAACAAGGTGCCTTATTGAGGTACAGTATTGTTGAGGCTTGTGGAAACATGAGTTAAGACTTCTGAGTGTTGCAGAGCATTTGGTGCAGGACGGGATTGGGGCATGGGGCGGGACTGCAGAGAAGAAAGGGAAAGCTGGGACCTCAGCCGGTTGTTGGCACACCCCAGCAAGGGGCTCACGGCAGAGGAGACTGGGAGGGAGCTGATTTCCTGGGCATGAAGACACTACTACCCCTTCCTCACTCAGAATTTCCCAACACTGTCCCAGCTACTGAGGGGTGTCCTGCCACACCTGGGTCAGCCACTCGAAGAGGAGGCCTGGTGACCCCACCTCCGACTCGGGGGCTGGGCAGCGAGCCTGCTAGGATGCTACTATTTCAGGCTTCATCTCCACGCGTTCTCATTTGCTAGGGTTGGGCTGGGCCTTCTAATCTGCATATTTACCACATTCTCCACATGATTTTGCCGTGGGTCATCTCGGACCACACTCGGACAAACCCTGATTTCTTCCACTCCTGTCTACCTTCTTTGTGCAAAGTACTTTCGATTTCACAACACTGGGGACTTCACAGATCCTGAAGGTAAAATAAATTCTCAACTCACCCCCGCCCCCTCCCCGCCACCCACCAAAAAAAACCCCACCACATTTAAATATCCCAGAAAATAGGTAACAACAATGTTTATAGACGGTTGTTTGCAATAGCCCCAAACTGGAAGGACTGCAGAAGTCCATCAGCAGTAGATGGACAAATGGGGCAGAGTCGCATGATGGAACAGGACAGTGATGGAAGAAACACGACGGCTACAGTCAGCAGCAGGGGTTCATCTCCCCAAGTTGCAACAAAAGAAAGAAGCAAGTCTCAGAATATGCATACAATACGATTCTAGTTACATCAAATTCAAGAACACACAATGCGAAACTGGGTTGGTTAGAGATCTGTCCGTGAGTGGTAAATCAGAGAGAGAAGCTGGAGGATGGTTATCATAAACATCAGGAAAGTGACCACTTCTTGGAGAGAAGAAGGAAGAGGTGACCTGGGGCGACCAGGGGGAGCCTCTGGACCCATGTGATTACACGGTGTTCGTTTCATAATTCTTCAGACCATATGCACTGCTTTTGCAATACTGTGTATGATGTATCTCAGGAAAACGAAAACATAAAAATTAAAAAAATTGAGCGCCCCTCCCCCAATAAATGTGTCGTCCCCGATCCTTACAGGAGAGTGAGGACTTTCCACCTGGGATGTTTGTGTCCCTCACAGCCTCTTGCCTCTTGCTTTACCTCTCCTTCTTCTTCCTTTCAACCAACAAACATTTCCTGGGTGCTAACGATATATTTTGTGCTGGAGAAGCCGGGCTGAACAAGACAAAAGGATCCTGCTATCACGGAGCTGCCAGCTCAAGGGCAGAGACAAAGAATGACCAGGAATCGCCACTGTGTTGAGGTAAGTCTAGGAGCTTGTGGATAAGGAGTGCCTTCCAGGGTGTTGGGAGGGCAGGGATGTTTCCTGAAGGAAGTTGTCATCACCATCATCTAAAATGATAAACTTTACCAATGATGAAACATAAGTGCTTTTATTTATTTTTAATTAAGAAATGAATTTATTTTTAATAAAATGTTTTTCCACTTCTGCCTTCTTTGCTAACTCCCTTCTCTCTCTCTCTCATCCTCTCTCTAGCCCTCCATCATCCCCTCTCTGACTCTCCTATTCCCTCTCTCCCTTTCTCAGCCCCTCCCCTCCTCACTTGCTCCCTCATTCCGTTCCCTGCTCCCCAGCATAAATGCTTTTCAACTGTCAGGTAATTCTGACAATGATCTTGGAGGACAGATACTGTCATCCCCATTTCACACATGACAAAACTGAGGCTCTGAAAGATGAATTAAACTTCCCAAGGTCATACAGCTAAGTAAGTGGCAGGGACCTGGTCAAAACCCAGGTCTCGGGGCGCCTGGGTGGCTCAGTTGGTTGAGCAACTGCCTTGGGCTCAGGTCATGATCCCGGACTTCCAGGATTGAGTCCCCCATTGGGCTCCCAGCTCCTTGGGGAGTCTGCTTCTCCCTCTGACCTTCTCCTCTCTCATGCTCTCTCTCACTCATTCTCTCTCAAATAAATAAAATCTTAAAAAAAAAAAACAAAAAACAAAACAAAAAAAACCCCAGGTCTCTGACTCCAAAGTCCTTGCACTTGTTGACGACATGATACTGTGGTCACCCATTCAAACTGGCTGCATGATTGAATTCGGTTGAGGCAGCAAAGAGTGAAGCTGGAATGGTGAACCTCTGTTGACCATAAAGAGGCCGACAGATTCTGTTACATGAAGTATGAGTTGATACAATCACAGGTACATAAAAGTCATTGGTAAATATTTGCCTAGTCAAAAAATTGCAAGAGGGCTGAAGTGTATGGCAAAGGATGCTGTACCAGGAGCAATGATAACATGGTACTATCTCTCGTGAGCTTCAGGACTCAGACCAGCCGTTCATCCTCTTGACGCCTCAGTTTCCTCCTCTATTCTGTAAAGGGACTGATGTCAGACATGGTAACCTCCAGGTTTGGTTCCAGCTCTGATACTCTAGGCTATTCCAAATCGCGGTTCATATTTTCGTGGTGGTGAGGTGCCCACCGGTGGGCATCAGGACCGTTGGGTGTTGCCAGTCAAGCTGGGCCTACAGGAGTAGATCTGCATCTGCAGAGGATGAAGAATGAGCGCCTTCTCTGTGGAGAGACAGGCATGTGCAAAGGGATAGGGATCTGGAAGCACGTGGATTCTTCAGGAACAGGGGCCATGTGTTGAGGACGGAGCAAATGCTGCTTGGTTTGGGGGAAGGAGAAGAGGAGGCTGGAAAAATAGCTCAGGATGAGATTTGCCTGTTCCCAGACATTTTCTATAAAAGGACTCACACAGTAAATGTTTTTTTGTGACTTTTTTCACTAAGCACCATGTTGTCAAGGTTCACCCCTGTTTTAGTGGGTATCAGTACCTCATTCCTTTTCCTTTTGACTGCCCCATAATGCCTTACTACATTTAACCTGAATGTACAAGACACGCCTTGGAATGAGTGCCTGCCCTCCTAAACATCCCTTTTCAGCAAACCTGCCTCTGTCCCTGCCCTCCGGAACCGCCCTTGCTTATGGAACCCTGAAGGAGGAAAAGGTGTTCACTTCCCTGCCCCCTTTCAGGTTCCCTCCCCCATGGGGGGGGGAGTGGGTGACAAGGTTTAGAGTCCCTAAACGTGGGGCTCATTGTTTACACTGCCCGTGACCATGTTTGTGGCAGATGGGGCAGGTCTCTGGTCCCCCTCCTCAGTGAATTCCCACTCGGAGAATATTTTAAGGGGAAGGTTAAGTGACTTTGATGTTTTCATATATTACTCTAACTCAAAGGAAATGGGAAAGAGCCAACTTACTGGGTGCATTTTAAGTTTTACAGGAGCTATCCTCCGTGCTTACAACTTTCACACATTGAAACCAGCTATCAAGCTGCTCGTGTTGAACATTCTACTGAACAGATAAGAATCCTGGGTCCTGACTGTTTTGTGTGAAGGGGGCTTCCTCAGCAATCATGCACACTTGAAAATAAGACATCCCCCCAAGGTTTTGCTCCATAATCAATGCTTATGCTGTAGTATTTTCTAGCAGCTCTCTTTTCCCGTGAAGAGTTAAACTTCACAACGTCCTTTTCCCCCCAAGACCTCCAGTTCTGACTCCACAAAGTCAGCATGTGTGAGGTTTTAATGTATTTAATGTAATTGAAACCTAGGTAAGTGGATTTGCTTTTGACTTTAAGAACCTATCTTTTTGGATCTGAGA